CCCCAAAACCCCAAAACCCCAAAACCCCTTTAGCATTACTCCAAGTTGAAATTTTAAAGGAGGATTTGATTAAGAGACAATTAAGGCAGAGTTAAAGCTTGGAGGGCTTATTGGCTAGTCTTTGAGGGTTAGGGGGAATTATAAGTGGAAAGGAAGATAGAAGAGGGAGTTGAGGGGATTGAAGATATTTTAGTGGTGGTATTTGGATTTTTCAGATGGAGAGTTTATGAGATTAAAAGGAATTCAATTTTTGAGAGAAAAGATTTTTGAGCTAGAAATTTGTTCAACTATGTTTTATAATTTTTTACAGTAAAAACAATTTTTACTACAAGAAGCTTAAAATGTATTCAAGATTAACAGCTCTTCTTCTCAGTCTAATATCCGATCTTCTAAGAATCAGTTACAGAACCTTCAAATCTCTTAGTCCATTTTGAGAACATTTTATGGTATCCTTTCTTCAAAAATTTCTTTTGAGTTTCAAGAACATTTGGTAGGTGGCTAGGCTTTTTCTGCCTTATTTCTGATTTATTTGATTTGACAAGTGATGGTTCTATATGAAATTAAATCTTGAACAGCTTATCTAAGCACAAAAATCAAAATCAAATAGTTTTTGAAGGGGCATCTAATTTTGCATATCTGGAATAATTTTAGAACTGTTTTAAACGTGAATAAATATATTTATAAAAGTTTCAAAACATCTTGAAACTGATCATACCTTTAATAGTAAGCCTTCTCTGCTTAAAAGGAGGAATAGAATTTATTTCACTAAACTCCTGTCCCTCTTGCTCACTCAGTGAGGGTATTTTGAAACTTTGCCTAAAATAAGTCTAAAAAGTACTGCTTTTTCTGGGTTGAGAGTCTATTTATGCTTTATATATTCTGAATTCCGGGTAAAAGCTTGGTATGAGTTGCTAAAGTAAGAGCTATACATACTTTTTGATCATCTTTAGTGCTAATGGAGTCTCATTGTTGCTAAGGTTATTCTTACTCATTGTTCTGGAGATTAGATGATAGAGTACGTGGAGTTATCATCAATCAGATTGATTATAATTGATCCAGATTTTGTATTTTTGTTCTTTATTGGAGATTTCTTTGAACTTCTTTGCTTACTTAAAGATTTTTCTCTTCTAATCTTATTATGATAACCTAATGGAAAGACAATCAGTACTACACCAGAGATATCAAACTAGGAAATGAAACCTAAATCCAGTAACCAATGTGGTCAGGATTCGCTCCCCTAACATTTTATTTGAAAACCCAAAATAAAAGATAAGAATTAGCTACTTCTATCTCCCTGGTCACAATCTGTTATCAACACATTCATTCTCTTCTGTTCAGGTGTCATCTCCTGTCTAAAACACACATAATTTCTCTTATTCTCCTTGCCAGTCAACTTCTCTAAAACCTCCGGATCCTCCAACCACTGTTCAACCCTCTTGCCTCTTCCATCCAAAGTATCTCATCACAAGTTCTTATAAATCTGGGTGAACGATTTACTTGTCCCTGATGATAGAATAATTCTTAATAGGTATTTTATCACCTTGCGCAGTATCTCTTTTAAGGTTTCTATTCAGACAAAGCCGAAGGAACTTCTTTGTGTTTAGCTTAATTCTTCTTTTCCATTTTTGACAATGATGGGGGTTCATTTTTTAATTTAGGAAATGGGGTTTTGGGGTTTTGGGGTTTTGGGGTTTTGGGG